TTTTTAGGGTGATGCCAACAGATCTGAGACAGATGACGAGAGACAATCACTGTCTTACGAGGACGAGGAGAAGTTGAGAGAGCTGTATGCTGCAGGTACAAACTCTTAGATCAACTTCAAACTGTACATGGAAATATGCTCACCTACCTTAAAAGATAATTTTCGGTTATTACAACTTGAGTCCTGTTGTTTTATTCACCCTTCTTATTGGTAATAATAACAGTGTACTCACCAAGTTAATTGCTGAGATACAGGTTTTAAACAAACCTCCAGGATAACCAAACTTGTTATATATTCTGCCAAGAATGAATACTGTCAACTGTATACATTTATTCATGTATTTTCTTTATTTTTCTTGGCCTGGAAATGGCCAATTTGAACAACAATGTCTAAAACATATTGGTATCTGCCTTGTGTGTGTCCTTAAAATATAAAAAGTAATCTTCTGTTCAGGTTGACCTGACCTCTGTCTTCAATGGTAGCTACAGCCCTGATCATAAATGCTACAAATGAAAACCAAAAATAAGTCCTAAGTTTTAACAAACTGGAATTATCCATTGTTTGCGTCTGGTTGTGTGTGTTTGCAGAGCTTAAGATCCAGGCCATGATGCTGAGCCCCAATGGTCTCCTGAACCCAAAAGCCTCCATGCCCCACCCTCCTCCTCCTCCTCTGCCGGTGATCACACACACTGCAGCCACGCCCACCATAAACTCCAGCCAGTCACGCCGGGCGAGTGCCGCTTCCACTGACATCAACAGCCTTGAGCAGAGGTCACCGGTGAGCCTTGGACACATGCTTTTAGCTACAGTATATTAACACCACAGTAACTATCAGTAATAAAGTTGATTTACAGAGGCATTTGAACAGAGAGTGTAACCTGTGCAGTGCAGGGAAACATGACAAGCATTGCTGCTCTTTTCCAACTGTCACTGCCTGTTAATGGGTAGCTGTCAGTGTTCCCCCTTCCGTTAGGGTCGGTTCGGGTTGCTCGCATTTTGAATCAAGTCTGTTTTAGACTGTCTGAATGTATTTTTCTTTTTTCAAAAATTTACATTTTGAAGAACTCTAGCATGCATTACGCATTTGCTCTACCGCCCTCTGCAGTTGGCAGGGGTCTGTTGCCGTTGTGCGTTGGAGCTGCAGGATTCTGTTCAAAATAAGAATCACATTTTTTTCCACTGATAAGTGAGATCAGGTTTTCTCCCACAATTCCTTGGCACACGTAAGTCTCGCCTCCAGCTGTGTATGTTTGAGTGGTTGGCGGTGGAATTTTTCTACTAAAGTTTTCCTGGCCTTTTTTATGATGTTTCAGCTGGTTGTACTAATTTGTAGTGTTACTTTTGCTTATGTGCTTTTAACTGTCATCATCATCTTTTTTATAAGTATAAGCACAGCGTTTCTGTCAGAACCCGAGGTGGATAAATATATTTGTTTCTCCTTAACATTGCTGGCGTTGCATGACCCTGACCCTGTTGTTCCTAAAAAGCTTTGCGTTTTGCTGAATTGTACAGCCCTAATGTTTGTTCTCATTAGAGCACAAGATACAAACAACAACCTTGCTCCACAGCACGGCTACTGGCCAAAACCTCCACATCTAATCTATGAAGAATGAAATCTTTATGCATACTCAGTCAGAAATTCAGCTACTTGTCACTGTTGTTTGCAGCTGTCTTCACAGTCTCTCTGGGACAGTGGGCCAGAGAGCCGTCGCTCCAGCTGGACCAGCATGGGCCGAGCCCCCAGCCTCCACAGGAAGAGCCAGTCGGGGGAAATGGAGTCCCTGCTGTCCGACACACACACAAGCTCCAACCTCAGCAGCAGGGAGCAATCTCTGGACCAGCCGGAGTACCTGCAGGTGCCCATGTTCCACCCGCCCGACTGCAATGGCACCACCTTTCACCTACCTGAACACTGCTACGACGATGCTCCCCTCACCACATATTACCACAGTGATCAGGAAGAGGACGAGATTGAGGAGGTGCAGCTCTTTGCATTTCTGTTATAGATTTATTTGCCCAGAAGAAAAAGTAAAGATGTTAGTTGTTTACTGTTATAGTCAGAAGGAAAAGGCTTCGGTTATTTCCTGTTAAAACAAGTTAATAACAGAACTTGGCATGTTCAAAAGTTCAAAAACTGCTGCTAATTATCTTGTGATGGCATACATTCTAACTATAGTGACCTTAGATACTTATGTAACTTTGATTTAATTTGCTGAATTTAAATGAGATGGGAACATTGTTTGAAAACATGTGCTGTGAATTCTTCCATACACGTACTGATACAGTATGAGGTCACTGTTTTCCACCACAAATTAAATAATATTCCATTTAATGAGTGTACATTATGATTTAGAAACCTAAAAAGTAATTCTAATTTTAATAATTATTTAATAACTAATAATTGTATATTTAAACATGCTCATATTGTCATATTGCAAATGTGTGTGTGTTCCTTCCAGAGTTTATGTAAGAAGCTGAAGAAGATTCTGGAGCCATATGAGCCTCAGTGGTGCCTGGAGCATGAAGAGTGGTCTCTTTATCTGTTCGCTCCACACAACCGGTAAATACACACTTTGTCACACACACAAACGCACACTTACACACAGCCCCTGATATCCTCCTGAGTGGCCTGGGCAGCATGTGTGAAAATTCACACTTGAAGTGTGAACGATAAAGCTTAGGCTTTAGTAATACAATTTTTAAATTAAATTTTTTTTTTTTTTTTAAAGAAAAAAAAAAAAATCCACTTAAATCCACACCATTATGTTGACATATGCAGCTGATGGAAGTGATAAGTGCAAATCATTTGAAAAATAGAGGAGTAGCTGATGACGCTCTTTTCTCTTTTTCTCTCGTTAGGTTCAGGTTGTGGTGTCAGAGGGTCATAGGTCACAAGATGTTTGATCATGTCATCCTCCTCTTCATCTTCCTTAATTGTATCACCATTGCCCTGGAGAGACCTGACATAGAGCCCAACAGCATGGTAGCACACACACGCAAACACAAACATTCACATGTTGTTTTTCTCTACACTTGTGAGGACCCTCATTGACGTCATACATTCCCTCTTGTACAGGCCTAAAGCTTTAACCTAAACTTGATGCTTGTAATTCTGCATTGAAACTGTATTCCTTTTCTAGTGTAGTCTATTTTATTGATATTATTTCCAACCTCATTGTGTTTTTAACGTTGGTTTAACGCATTACAATTAAATTTACCTCGCCTTAAGCTAAATCTGATTTTAACCTTATAATCTTAACATCCAGTCTCAACCTCAAACAGCCACTTAAACGTTGAAAACTGAATATCAGTCCTCACAAAGATAGAAGTACAAGATCACACACCACACATGCACAGCACAACACAAGCTGTCAACTATAGCGTTCATCTGCTTGTTGCTGATGTAAGAGCCGTTTGGGAGTCATTATAAGAACATGTGCTGTTCTCAGTATGTTTTCATTATGTTTCTACAGTCGTAATGGATTTGTTTTCAGCTCATTATGTAACACATCACAGTTAGTTTGAGTCCAGAATCAAAGCTAAAGCTACTGGGACATTAAATCCTTAAATTGACGAATCTCACAGCTTCTCTGCGTGTGTCTGTGCATACTCTCACGTGTATGTGTGTGTGTGTGTGTGTGTGACAGGAGCGGGTGTTCCTCAGTGTGTCCAATTACATCTTCACTGTGATCTTCGTGGGTGAAATGATGATCAAGGTAACCATAACAAGACACGTTTTCTGAATGAGCACTTCACTCCAAAGTCATTTTCTCATATTACTTATAAAAGGGCAATTTTCTCCCTGGGTGGGGATCAGAATTGCTTTTAGTCTCATTTTATACCTCATATTATTTTACTATTTGAGTAATTGTGCTGGATCTGTGTGTGTGTGTGTGTGTATGGGTCAAGGTGGTGGCTATGGGTCTGTACTTTGGAAATGGCGTCTACCTGCAGAGCAGCTGGAATATCTTAGACGGACTGCTGGTGTTTGTGTCGATGGTGGATATCCTGGTCTCCATTGCATCAGCAGGTGGTAATCGGATCTTAGGTATCCTCCGTGTGCTTCGTCTGCTCCGCACACTGCGACCTCTAAGGTAGGAGTACAGGAGATTTTCTCTTGTGTTTACTCCATTAATATTATCTGGTGTACTTATGTAGCATGACTGTGACTGTGCCTTTGACTGTGTGTGTGTCGCAGGGTGATAAGTCGAGCTCCTGGTCTAAAACTAGTGGTGGAGACTCTGATCACATCTCTCAGACCCATTGGGAATATTGTCCTCATCTGCTGCGCTTTTTTCATCGTGTTTGGAATTCTGGGAGTCCAGGTAAACATTTATATTGTGTATTCCCTGTTCATCCTGTGTTGGTTGAAGATAAGCCTCTGTGTTTTATTTTTCTTTGCAGATTTTCATAGAAAAATACTCAGCTTAAACTTATTTTCACCCAATTTTATGTGCCCAAACATCCAAAGCTTGTTGTGTTTTCTGCCGCAAGAAGACACTGATCACTGAGGTTTAAAATAAACGAGGCACATCCTAGAAAATGCTTCAGGTAATAAAAAGTGAAAGAGAAAAATTGGGAGAAAATGCAAATGAGGTGCTGATTATGCACCAGAGTCCCTGGAAGTAATTAAAAAAACAATGGTTCAACTACAGAAGGACTGTGCTGAGAATGTATTTTTTAATTACATTCTAATGTAATTTTGTATTATTAATTTCACTAATAATTAATGGAATTAAAATTACATTTATTAATTGTATGCATTTTTATCATTTTTTAAAATATTCAAAACAAACTAACGAATTAAATCAATAAGATAATGCTGTCAAACAGTGGTTCCCTCATCTGTGAGCTGGGACCCGCCACAGGGTCCAAAGATAAATCCGAGGAGTCAAATAATTAACATAGGTATTAGAAAAATGAGCAACCTAAGGAGAGAGCACACCTCCCTGCCCTTCCATGTGCATACATGGAAAGCTAAGACAAGGAGAGCAGCAGCAAAGACCCCCCAGGGTGCAGAACAGAGCAAGCATCAATGACAACAGAAATTACATTGATTAAATCAGATACAGCATTAAAGGAGGAGCTGGGGTGGAGGCGGGTTGCAAAGCAGCTTGCAGAGGAAGCAGCAAAGGTAGGCAGGCTAAAGCAGCTTAAATAAGGCGCCCTGAATGACATTTGCCCAATTGAATGCTTAAAGGTTAATCAGCTGAGCTATCAGCATGCAATCCAGCTTGATGTATGCTGGAATTGAAGCTTGCCTGAATAATGCTATGCTCCAAATTTCTGTAACATGAAAAATATGTATAATTTATCCAACTGCTTTCGACTAAATAAGATTGCTTTTTGTTCTGGTAGAAATACTGAATAGTTTCACTTTCTCAAGGACTCAAATCTTTTAGAAATCCTCCAAATCTACATTAACTTCATTTTAAAGGATCAGTAGGCAAAACCATGGCTTTTTTCATAAGTGAATAATCACCCTCCCAAAATAGCCTAGAGCAGACAAACCAAACACCGGCTTCTAGAACGGGCCATTTTTTGAAGTTTTTTGAGAGTTTCTCAAACCTTACACACTTGGATGGAGTGAAGAATAGGAATAAGTGGGTAGTCAGTTGGTTGTAATCGCAAACCTCACCCACTTAGATGCCTCCTAAACTTGCAGACTGGACCTTTGAGGAGTCACAGGCCAAAAAAAATCGTGAAAACCAATGGGTACAATATAATTTTTAAATGTTTATTTAAATTATATTTTGTATGTACTAAACCATTTAAATGTAATTGCCTTGTGCAACCTTTCCTAGATGATTGCTGAAACCAATATTAGCACACAGGTATATATTTCTCAAAAACACACCTAATTGCTGGAATTATCCTCTAATGGGAGAAAACTTGATGCTGAAGTGTTTCTTGCTTGTATGACTGTGAGGCAGATTGGAACAGATGGCACTTTGGATATTCTTTGCTGGAACATACATAAGCCCGTAGGCAAGTCGCAGAGTAATTTTACTGTACCACATCCATCTCCTTATTTTCGCTCTACCGGAAGCTTTGTTTACAATTACCTTGAGGTTACAGTGTTCTGTGTTTTTTTTACATGTATGCACACATTCTGTCCCTGTTTATGCATGCTGTTTAAAGGGAAGTTCTTCTACCTGTGAGGGTCGATGTGATAAATCACCCAAATAAAACCCCAGTCGTCTGGAGGAGGGATACCGCTGGGCTCGGAACGGAATACAACCCCTTTGACCAACCTGGGAACAGGTTTGGTCTCCCCACGTGTACATGCACAACACAAACACACACACAAACACACACACACACACACAAACAACACACATACATCCAGGACTGACACCTGCTGAAACTGATTGACAGCATGACGCTGATTTATATTTTGTCTCCTTACTCTTCAGGCGCGCTGATGTCACTGTTTGTGCTGTCCATGTAAAGACGTGGGTCAGCATCATGTATGAACGGCTGGATGCTGTCGGAAGTGGACCAGCAGGTGAGGACACACACCACACACCACACACACACACACACACACACACACACACCACAGAAAACATACACATAGAGAGGAAGAGAGAGGGGTTTGTGATAGTAAAAAAATGAATAGCAAAGGAGGTTATACAAACCACCAGCCAATATATATTGTATGTCACTCTTTTGGTTCTGTTTTGTGTTCAGTCTTCAGGCACGCTTTTGATTTGTTTTTCAAGCAGAAAAGGGGAAAAAATTTTCAGGAGAGAAGGAGGTGTTAGGAAAGAAAAAGGCAGACGGATAAATAGTGTGAGTTTGACCCAGTGCTTTGCCAGTTTTCACTTGCTTGACTTCAGGATTTACATTGTCTTCTGGTGTTTACTGCTCTCCTCCCTCTTCTGCCTCGTCCAACCCTCCTCTACGGTCTTTTTGTCACTCTTTGGTTCTCCTCTTTTTTCCTTTTTGTCCCCATGGTAGTAACTTTCTCCTCTCTTCTTTTCGATTTTCTCCTCCATTTTTCCCTCCATCTCCTCCGCAGCGCAATAAGAAACAACAACCCTTGGATGCTGCTGTTTTTCATCTCTTTCCTCCCTCATCGTCAGCTTCTGTTGTGCCCAACATGTTGTGGCGTGTGGTGGAAAACTTCACAATGTCCGCCAGCAGCAGGAAGGAGGAGGAGGCCCACGGGCTGAGGGAGGAGGAAGGACAGAGAGCCCGGTTGGAGAAATGAGGAGGAGAAGTGAAGAAAAGCTGGAGAGAGGGAGGGACGGGGGGGGGGGGGGAGTGCAAGACATAGAGTATACGGCCAAGTATGTGGACCGTGAACATTACACCCATGTTATTTGTACCCCATGGTTCTCCAATGCATGTTATTCCAAAACACTGGCATTAATCTGCTTCTGTAACCGCCTCCGCTCTTCTAGCAACAGGTTTTCCACAAAGATTTTTAAGGAACACCAAAGAGCATTATTTCCAGTGTCCAATTCAGAGGTGAATTTTAAAGGTGTAGAAACTGCCTTTATTTTTATTGATAATTAGACCTGGATTGTTTGATATGTAATGATGCCTTTATTAGTTTATTCATTTTGTCATTCAGACATATATCAGAAATAAAAGCAGCATGCCTGTATTAAAACAATTAAATGTACAGCCACAAATTATCCTGTGACCATTGATCGAGAATCCAAGTTTGCAAATGTGTAATCAATTAGGCCTTGATAAAACACATAAAATGTAAGTCAGACTGCTCCAATAATGACAATATTGGAAGCTGCTAAAGAACAACCATTTAAAGAGTCTTCAACTCCGGAAATGCCTCAAATGGACATTTGAAATAATGACGGGGGACGTGACGGAGCTGTGGCACAACCTGGAATGTGAGCAGCTGAAGCTGTCAGTGGACATCCAGGGTTAGTGGAGGTCTGAAAACTGTGTTCCAAGTGATAAGGCCTGGCTGTCAGTTGGGCATTCAGTTCATCCCCAAAGGTGCTGGAGGAGTGAAATCCAGGGCTCTGTGTAAGCCCCAGTCCAAGTTCTTCCACCACAACCTGAAAAAAACATGGTCGTGTGGACTTTCTTTGTGCACCCAAGACCACCAAGAAAGCAAAGTTAAGCACACTATTGTCTAAACGAATCATTTATGTGGGTAGTATTAATATTTCTCCCTAGATTAAATCATACTCAAGACAGTGGTGTCCACAATACTTTTGAAATATATTTGTAATGTAATTCCACACAAGATTAAAACCTCTTTTTTCTGCAATACATACTGAATGAGTCACATGCATAATTTCTGTCTTTTAATATGCCACCAGGAAACACAAATAACAGCCCTGACCCAGACCTCACTCTCTTTCTCTCCTCCCATATTCTGTCTCACTCTGTCCTTCTCTTCGCTGGCGTGTAATCTCTAAGTAGTGCTTTTCTCTTAGTCCAGTTAACTGTCTGGCCAGCAGACAGCAATGGGTTTCTGCCAAAGACACCTTGAGGTGCCGTGTGTGTGTGTGTGTGTGTGTGTGTGTGTGTGATGGATAGGACTGAAACCCTGAAGTGGCACTTTTATTCTGTACACACACACACACACACATATGCATACACACACAGCCAGTGCGCCACTTGGCATCCACTTCGTCCAGTGACTTCATAGCCCAATATCATATTTTTTCTTTCAGAAGCATTTTAATGGCTGCACTTTGTGTTTGTGTGTGTGTTTGTGTGTGTGTTGTGCGCCTGTGTGGAGACCGCAGGGCCCAGGAGGAAGGCCGTATTACGCTGACTACTCCCATTGCGTGATTCCAGTACACAACGTGTGCACCAGCAGTTACCTGGATCTCTCCATCATCCATCATACATCCTTCACAAAACCTTTATCACCATGAGCATGGAGCACATAAACCAGCCTAAGTAACCATGGCAACTCCCTTCTAACCACTTGCCCCTAGACCAATAGTAATGAAGCGGTATGCGGTGGTACAGTAACATGCTAACAGTGTGGGTTTTTTTTAAGTGTGTGTCCTGTGTCTGTGTTGACTTGCAGTATCTTTTGAGGAGATACTGAAGTACTGCAATACCGTCTCACGGTGGTTTTTGTCATCGAGTTCGATTCCTCAAACTCCATCGCTTTTTGGTCTGGCGACGCTTTTTCAAGGAGGGTATTCAAGTTCTCACCATGAATACAAAGACAACCCACAGAGATAACAACTTTGTCCTTCATCCACCTGGCATTGTGTGTGTGTGTGTGTGTGTGTGTGTGTGTGTGTTGGGTGTGTTCAAGAATGGGAACCAGCTGGACCTCGCCATCGTGTTGTTGTCCATCATGGGAATTGCACTGGAGGAAATAGACCTGAATGCCTCCCTCCCTATCAACCCCACCATCATACGCATCATGAGAGTCCTAAGGATAACAAGAGGTAGGCACACAGCGACACACAAATACAAAAACGCTCTAACAAGATGATATGTGGCTGACACATTACAATGTTTCAGTGCTGAAGCTGCTGAAGATGGCTACGGGTATGAGAGCTCTGTTGGACACAGTGATGCAAGCTCTGCCTCAGGTAAGAGTCAGCGCTGATGCTGTAAAATATAAAATGTCTCTTTAACTGCCAGCCTGTTTTTCAGATCTGAAGAATTGCAGACAGCTTGTATTTAGCAATTTATCAGGACTGGTACTGACTGCCCCCATGTGATTTACTAATGTCACTGATTCCCCTCAACAGACTGTGTTAAACCAAATAACCACCAAACAAGCAATAAGACGTCCTTATGTTTAGCTAAAGGCTAATTGTGACTTATAAATTACCAATTAAATCATAACTTCACAGCTGCTTTGGTGCAATTGTTTTCCGACTGGGTATCTGTGAGAAGATAAAACCAGAACGTCCAGTCTGAATGTTTATCACACAAAAGACACTACGCAGCACTGTATTCTCCTTTGAGGCAGAATCGTAAAAAGTTATCAAGTTATCACAGCAGCGGCACAGCTCCTCTCTTTCCATTCTTCCGAGGTGTCGAGTGAAATTAGCACAATGCTACAAGCTACACACGACCAAATATTCTACCAGGTATGGACAATTGCTCATATCTGATTGGCTAAAGCAGAGCAATTCTAGATAGCATCACTCTGCGATGCAGCAAAAGTGATTTATGGGGCCTGATTCAAGTTTTTCTACTGGGCACATCATTGAGGATACTGTATTTTCTGACACAGTTTTCCATTGTAGGTCCAGGCTGAAACTATTGGATAGATTGTCATTAAATTTTGTACAGATATTCATGGTCCCAAAAGGACTTTAATGATCCTTTTCCTCTAGTACCACTATCAGATGGATTGCCATGATATTTGGTGCACACATCTGTATCCCCTCAGGATAAATTGTGATGAACTTCTTTGATCCCTTAACGTTTCCTCTAGCACCATCATCTAAAATGTTATTTAATACTTTAATACTGGTTTATGACCAATTTCCTGCAAAACGAATGACTTTCTTATCAGCCTCAGCCATACTTTGTGGTAAATGCTGATAAGTTAACATGCTAACACGCTAAACTAAGGTGGTGATCATGGTAAAGATTAATATCACCATGTTGTAAAAAAAATTTGAATTAACCAGAATGAATAACTTTACTGTGATTTATTACTGTTACCATGTTAATGTTCGCATATTGACATTAGCACCTAACTCAAAGCACTGTTGTGCCTCCAACCGCTAGTGTGACTCTCTGACTGAGTATGAAATGTGTGAAAAGTGACTGGGGAATGAGAACAGTGGACTAGGATGATGGCTCTGGTGCATGGATGTGTTAATTAGACCTGGATACGGTGCTGCCACTCAGTCTTGCTTCCAGTTTTTCCCAGTGGCCACTCGTGGTATTGCAGCGAAAAATTCCCCTGCACAGAAAGCAGCGTTATAAAAAGGTATAAAACTGTGTGAATATGAATATGAATTTTTTAATCCATAGAGATTTTATGTTTGTATAACTTTCCTCGAGCCAAGAAAAACAAGTTAAATATCTGTGATGTCACCGTAATGTAAAGCGTATGTGCTGAGCAGGAACTGGAGAGCGGGAGAAACATTATTACGCATCTTCAGCGGGCCAGAAATTCTCATCTCGAGCAATTCTCATTGGACTGAATAGGCACCATCTTTGGGTCCGGTATCTAGTTCTAATAATACATCCATGCTCTGGTGCTGGCAAGGCTTTAGGAAGGATCTACCACAGCTCTCAGGCTCAGTGGACCCTCAGGGGACCCTACCAGAATGATGAGAGCTGAGATGAGAGAGTAGAGAGGTTTGTAGGTAACAAACATGTATTCAGGGCACTGTTCCTGAATTGCAGCTAAATTATATGAATTTAAAATGTTCTTCTCAAATTGTTATTTGAGCCAAAATCATGCATGGAGCTTCACACTATCCACACTATATCCCATGTTTGTCTACCCAGATGTAACAAATTCTCTAGTGCAGCAAAATACTCAATGATCCTTCTCTGCCTTCCCACCCACAAATAATGCTAATTGTCTTTGAAGTGACAGATCATTGCTGGGGATTGAACCCAGGTCTTTGCAGTGGTGTCTGAGTGCTTTCTCCCCTGCCTTTCATCAATAGGTTTATCCATCATCTAATTAGACATCTCCATACCTCCTACAATGGGGAAAGGCAAGCCAAGTCCCTGTGAATTTCACTTGTAATTAGAATGAACAGGCAAGTTTGTGGTTCATGAGGACTGGATCCAGGCAATGAAATCTGAGATATGATTCAGCTCCAGGTATCATGATGGCTCCTAATAGTATTTAAGATGCAGTAAACATCAATGCAATAAGGCTTCTCTGTCTATAGCCTCTTTCTCTTTGTTTGCATGTTTGCGTCTCTCTCGATGTATACTGTACATGTCTTTTTTTCTGTGTATCATATACTGTATATATCTGTGTGTGCGTGTAATATGTCTGTCTAGGTGGGGAATCTGGGTCTGCTCTTCATGTTGCTGTTCTTCATCTATGCAGCTCTGGGAGTTGAGCTCTTTGGAAAACTGGGTTAGTGTGTGTGTGCGTGTACGTGTATGCACGTGCGTGTGAGCTTGTGTGCGTGCGAGCACGTGAATGTGTGCATGCATATAAATCGGTACAGATGTGTGTGTGTGTGTGTGTGCGCGTGTGTGTGTGTGTGCCTCAGCTGACACTGGTGAGATATCCGTGGATTACATAAAATGCATACATTTTGTTGTGTTACATACATTAATTATGTCAATTTAGAATCAGTGTTCTAATCTACACACAATCCTCTTTCTTCTCTCCCCTCGCCTCCCTCTCTCACAGTTACTGCCTCTAACGCTCTTTTCCCCTCTTCATCCTCTTTCAGAGTGTTCAGATGAAAACCCATGTGAGGGTCTTAGTCGCCACGCTACCTTTGACAACTTTGGCATGGCTTTCCTCACCCTCTTCAGGGTGTCTACTGGGGACAACTGGAATGGGATTATGAAGGTTATTTTTCTTTCTCTCCTCTGCTCTCTGGGAGGTTTTAAGAAGATGGAGAACAAACAAAGTTCATGTGTCTGTGCATATGAGTGTGTCACAAAGCGTTGGTTATGAGACAGGCATTGCAATAAGAAGAGAGAAGATTACAGTTTTTTTGACAGACTAAGAGCTGCTGACATTAGAGGGTTAAGAGAGTGTATTATTCTTCCGTGACAGTCTTTTCACGCTCAGAGCAACATCTCCTTCTGTTGGAGAAGAGAAGAAGTACACCATAGTGCATTCATATATATATATATATATATATATCATTAGATTTATCTGTTATAAGTTTTCTTCACCGTTCATAATCTCTATCCTCTTCTCTTACCCTCGTCGTCCAGGACACGCTGCGAGAGTGTCGCCCGCAGGATCGCCACTGCCTCACCTACCTGCCCCTGATCTCTCCCGTTTACTTTGTCACCTTCGTCCTAACTGCTCAGTTTGTGCTGGTCAACGTGGTCGTAGCCGTTCTGATGAAGCACCTTGAGGACAGCAACAAGGAGGCTCAGCTGGAGGAGATGGAGGAGAGGGAGGAGAAGAGGGAGAGGGAAGAGATGAAAGAGCGGGAAGAGATGAGGGAGAGGGAGGAGGCCAACAGACGACTCAGCACTGCGTCTGTGGGCGGAGACCTGGGGCCAAGTGTGGACACACCTGCACAGGTAACTGACAGAGTGCGTGTTAATATTTCTGCATCTGTGAGAGGGAAGGGAGGGGAGGTGACAATAACAATGACAGCGGTGATGATCTCATGTGGCAGGTGCAGGTTGAGGATGAGGAGTGTTCCCATGGAAACCTGCTGAGCATGGGACGCATGCTGTCTCTCCCCAGCGACAGCTACGTTCAGCCACTCAGATGCTCCCCTTATCCTCCCATTGGCCATGAGGCCTACTCTGGCTACAGCTTCTCAGGTAATTTGGTTCTTTATAGCCAATTAAATTAAAGAACAGATTTTACTGTGCTATAACCACTAACTGATTGCTGTAAAGATTATTGCCTCCATAAATAGCATAGAGGGCAGTTGAGCTGTGATGTAGTACAACGTGAGGCACTGTTATTTTAGACTTTAATAATAAGAAGGAGTTATTTTTAGGTAGAACTAGTGTAGTCCTGCAAAGCACTTGAGTGACCTTTTTTCCCATTATTGCTGATCCCATGTCACCCTCAGTGTTTTCCACTTGTCCCTGGGGGACACTTTAGAATAGCATGTTTAAGTTCAAATCATTTAAATGACAAAAAATAACAATAGAAAGTAATGTACAGAGAGTAGGAAAAAGGGCTTAAGCAAGACCTATAAAATAGTTGTTTATGAAATAAAAAATAACACACTTATAAATACAGGTTGACATATTTTTGAACATCTCCTTTAGAAAACAGTAATGTGTCTCTCAATGCAAAAAAAAAAGGTCACAGCAACACACTGTAGTTTTTAGTAAATGTTACTCAAACAGACGTGTTATACATATTGTGTACTCCAGTGACTATTTACAGCAGCTGGATGATGTGTGTGTGCGGGATTGACTCAAAAGAAAATTCAGCGTTTATGTTCATGGTTATGGAGGAACATGTCACCCAGTGCAACAGTGTGGTTCACTGATGTGTTTTCAATAGGTTTTGGACAAACATGGAGGTCTGTGGCTTTGAGGAATAACCTGCTTTAGATACACAGATTATACTTGTTAAGAGTTCCCTAAGATATGGTCAATATACAGTATCTTAGAGAAAATTGACTGCTAATCAGATGAAGACTTTCTGGTTGAGTAATAATGATAACATAATAAACTTTATTTATATAGCAATTTTTGCAATGTTTTTTTGTAACAATGTTACAGTGTGCTGTACAAAAAAAACCAAGGCAGTTAAAATGAAAATAAGGTACATGAGCACAGAGGGAATAAAGCAATAGAATAAGTAAGAATGAATAAATAGGAATAAACATATCAAATACTTCCAAAAGCTTGCACAAAAAGAAAAGTTTTAAGAAGAGATTTAAAAGAGATTTAGTATGTCTAAGTAAACGTAAGATTGAAACTGCGCATTAGTTTGAAAATAAGACATCATATGATCTGGAACTTTCCTTTGTGTACTGTATTTGGAAAAAAATAACATCAGTTGTAAGATGTTTCTGAATTAAAGAAGCTGATGGGGTGCAGAGATGTGATGTCCTTATATGTATATAAAATATTAATTCTGTTTTTTTCTTTTCATCACTGTGTCCATTATGATCATTGTCGTTATTATTTTCTGCAGGCTCCATGTCATCTCTGGCCTCCAGTGGAGGCGGCTCACTGCTGCAGGTCCCAGGAGCTCTGCCAGTCATCAGCCATGCTTCACTGGGGCAAGGACGCAGCTTGAGGCCAAAGATCTGCCTGAGCACCACTCAGAGCATCGACAGACACTCCCCACACAGACTCAGTCCAGCCGACAGTATAGAAGGATACAGGTCTAGTCCAGCTCACAGAATAAACAGACACAGACTCAACTCAGCTCATAGTATCGATGGATATAGGTTCAGCCCGGCCCATCGGATAAACAGACACAGACTCAGCTCTACTCACAGTATGGATGGATACAGGCTCAATCCAGACCACAACACAGACAGACCTAAACTCATGTCCAGCCACAGTATAGACAGACATTCCTCACTCAGACTGAGTCCATCCTGCAGTGCCAGCAGACGTCCTTCTCAGTGGCTCAGTCCTGAAGACAGTTTAGACAGAAACATGCTAAGTCCCTCCTACGTTCCGGATAGTTCAGTCCTAAAGAGGCCACCATCCTTCCGTACAGCAAGCAGACAGTTACGGAGACAGGTGTGTTATTATCACCTTTTCTCTTCTCTTCTCTTCTCTTCTCTTCTCTTCTCTTTTTTTTCTTCTCTGCTTTTAATTTTTGACCATTTTCAGATGCATGCTGTACAGTTTCCCATTCTATGCTACCATTGGTTTTAATTCATTCCCATATAGTGTGAAAATGTACTAGCTCTAGACTTGGTTTTCAATGAAACTGTATTAACACTCAATGATAATGATAATGATAATGTTCACTGTGATGGAGGGCATCTGCTAATCAATTTTCATACTGTATGGAAATGTAAACCAACTAATGTCTGGAAGGACATTGGATGAAAATACATCAAAAAAGACCTAAAACACAGCAGAAACAGTTAAATGTACTAAGGTCTATGAGATTACTTTTTTAAGTCCTTCTGACACTCACATGCTTTTATATATTCATTGAAAGACTTAATGGTTGATGTAATTCTTTTCCATACTCTCCATACTGACTGAGAATAAATCCCTTCCCAGAGTGTACACTGTACATAAATGCATTGCAACGTTAAAAAAAAGCTAATATAAGGATTCAGCAGTCTAAGTTAGACAAATAACACTTCCAGTCTTTTTAGTATGAAATTCCCTTTGTATTTTTCACCTGACAGTGTTTCCTTGTTGAGCTGCGGCGGTGGAACAGTTGCATATGAATAGATATTAGAAAATACCCACTCAGCAACTGAGCCTCATATTAGCTTCAGATGAATTTAAGAATACATGACAGACACAGAACAGAACTGAGGATTTTGTCTGCCATGTTTTACAGTGTAGTCGCTCTAGGAAGGGATTGTTTCTTGATTAATATGGACAAGCAATGATTACAGCAACCACAAACCCTTTAAATGCAGTTTAGGATCTGTTCTGGATAATAAACTTTTACAAAATTGTACTTCTGCACAGGAAGTGGTGAGTTTTGTGTTTATAATAACAAATAATGATCTACATGCGCTATTGTTAAACATGCTTACAGTCTCAACAAACAGAAACAAAATTTTCTGTTCCTATTGCCAAGTTATCACATTGTATATTTTCTGTAAAACATAAAAAAAAATGATTGAACTTGCTCCACTCAACAAATAATTAACATTGTGTCGTCAATGTGTGTTTGTGTTTTGCCTGCAGGAGGCTGTGCGCTGTGACTCTCTGGATCAGAGCGGTTCTACTGACGACCTGGCAGAGCCTCACCTCACTGTGCCCGCCATCTCTTCCACACCTCCACGCCAGCGATCGTCCAGTGTACACACACTGAAATATACACACCCCCAGAGGGTCATCTCATGCAGGAGCCACAGCCGGAGCCACAGTGAAACCACTGGGCAAGAACATGTACCTGAGCCGGCCATCTGTGGCTCGCAGCCTGAAACAGATGTCGAGAAGAGGTCTGTCAGCCCACAGAGCCTGTCCAGTCTGAAGTTCCCCAGCGGTGAATCCACCCTATCAGCTCCGCTCTGCAGCTCCAGAGCGGCCAGCCCCGGCCCTGGCTCCGATCCCGGCCCCCAATTGGATGACACAGACGAGGAAGTCAGCCGCATTAACAGTTCTGTTCACACACACTCACAACTTCCTCCCAGCCCCTCACACAAAAGCAGACACCTCTCCCCGAGCCCCGGGGAGCACAGGAGCCGCCTCAGCCAATCAATGTCTCCGGTGTCGGGTAGGAACAGGAAGCAGAGGGTTAGCCCGCCGCCAGGAGAGGAGCCGGTTACTACGGCAACCCAGCTAATGGACAGCAGTGTGGAGCTGAGAAGGCGGACTCTATCATTTGATGCCACAACCCTCTCTCCTAATGAACCAGAGGGAAGTTCTGTGGACGACTAAACAAACTCAGTGACGCTGGATTGGTTTTTCTCTGACGTGGAGGAGCCTGATGTGCTGCGGAAGCACACGGGAGGGGTGGGAGCCGCAATCCAAAACAGGGAGGATACCTGGTTTCCTGTTTTGGGCCCCGCCCCTCACCTCACCTCGTCCCGTCCAATCACAAAATTTTCACAGGGTGTTTGAGCAGAACTCTTTCACACTGTGTGTGTATGAGTGTGTATGTGTTCAAAGACCCTTAGTGCAATTTGCACAGAAGATGCACACAAGAAGACGTTTCCTTTTCTTCTATCATAGTCCTAGCTTTAGTTCAGACATAGTGGTCACTCCCCTGCTATATTTACTCGAACTCTAACCTTCCCCTTGCTTGCTCTCCTCCCTCTGCCCTCACTCTCATCTTTTCCTTGCACCTCAAGCCTTGGTCAGAGTACAAGACAAAATTACCCAAAAGGTGCAGTACGGATTAAGCTAGTGACTAATCTGCTCGTGTACACATGCACATATTGACAAAAAGATAACTAGGGACTGCAACTAATGGTTATTTTAATCTGCAGATTATTGATAAATCAATTAAACCTTAAACTGTCTATAAATCATTAAGAATAGAAAAATGTTCATCAGAGTGTCCAAAGTCCTTAGACAAGGAAAAGCCACAAATCTTAATGTTTGAGTGGCTTGAACCATCACATATTTGTCAAAAAAGCTGCAGTTATTATATCAATTTCTGTTGACCGACTAACCAACCAGTTTTTTCAGCTTGACACACTGCATCTCATTCAGTCTAATGATAATCTTAAACTGTTTAAGTAAAATTCCCTAATTTCTAGCTCTGTGGTGCAGAAATTATAGTTTATGTTTACAGGAAAAATACATTTTTAAGTGATAAACTTACAAACGTTAAAGCTGACAACAAATTTTATATGTAAATGCTTAGTTTCTAATTGCACGCTTATATAGATTGCTGCAGGCACATTTTAATAGAGACGTATTCCTCCAACAAAACAAATTGTACAGCAGCTTATTACAAGTGGAGCAAAATGAGAATCTTATGTCTAACCGAGTGGGAGGTTTTGTTTTTTAATATGACTAATCTTCCTATTTTTCGTACCTCTTAATCTGCAGTAAACTGCCACTGGACGTTGCCTGATCATTCTCAGATTGCAGTCTTTCCTAGCCAAACAAAACATAGACATCTTTGTGATGTTTGAGAAACTTCCCACGCCTGAATCCTCCCAACCCTGACAGTCAGAAAAATCAATTTGCGCTTAGAGCCTCTGAGTTAAAATCGTGTAGTGTGACCTAGGCTTTAGTAGTTTTCTACCTCGCTTTTTCCTGATCCCACCCATTCGAATGTTCAGTCAGCTTAGTTTCACACCCCTTCCACTTTCCTTTTCTCTGTCTTAGTATTCTCAGGGTAGAGGTAGTTCAGACGCAGGTGAGTATGAAGCATGTGATCACAGGTCTGCAGAGTTAGATTGCCCCCTGCTGTCTGAAGCTGGAGCTGGCCCGTCTCCCCTGATGTTTGAAGACATTATACTGTACGGGTGCGTGTTGTAATGTAGACAGAAGCAGATGTACAGAAGGGCTTATTCAGGTGATATAATAGTGTGAAAAAACTTTGTAGGCTAAGATTATATTTTATTAACACAGCAGGGATGATATGAGAACTACAAAGGTGAATTTCTACATTTTTGAATGTCAATTTATCTGCTGGTGCCAGTGATGATGAGGGTGGATGATGGACGATGTCAGCGTTATAGGATGTTGATTATAATGATGATGATAAGGATGACTCTGGATGATGCAAATGTTCATAATATTGTATAATGTTCCTGCAGAATGAAAGCAGGGATTGACATTCAGTAAGCTCACCTGCAGATACATTATTGGACAGTGCTGGAATAAAACCACTTCCTGTCTGACTTTCATTTGACTCCATAACCTTGCGTCTAAATATGTCCTTTCCCCCTATATAAAGAGGTAAAAAAAAAAACACACACAGTATGAGGGTTTACAGTCCTTCAGCGTGAGCCGCTTAATCCAAAAATAAAGCTAACACACAGCTGCTGCCTGCTGCTGCTAATGAATTCAACATAACTCGAGTACCCTATCTAATTATGGTCCTCCAGCAGATGTTGATTAATATGCTTAACACATCCTTGGATCTTGGTCTCAATACATAATTATATTAAAAAGCCTCACATTGTGAGAAGTAAAAGTGAATTATTTAAAGATGATGTGAACAAAAGCAGCTCTGGTTGCAGTGGTGGTGGATAGATTTTATTTTTTCATTTAACCACTTCAGCATATCACAATAAAATATTTAATCACATGAATATTTCACACTGAAACACTATAGCATTCAGAATGCATTAAGCTATCCTGCCTTTATTTCCTTGCCAAGAAAATGTACCAATTTCTACAGGTTCTGCCATCCTCACTCGGTTCCTCACAATCTATTGGTCAAGCTGCCCGTCTGTCTCAATTTCAGCCAATGAGAGGCCACAGGTCTGCAAGGCAGCTTGTGATTGGTCAGACTGACTGAGGGCAAACAGGAGAAGATCAACAGAGCTACACAGCATCACTGTCCTCCATATTTTCTTAACTAAAGACCTTGTGTCCCTTTATAAGGCAGATGGAGCATCATTACTGATCTACATCTATGTTAATCTGCACCTCACCATATGAACATGCAGTCAAGGTGTGTATGTGTGTGTGTGAACTTCCAGGTGTATATACACGTGTTTCCAGGTGTACATGTGTATCTGTTTCCAGGTGTGAGAGAGTACAGCTGTGTTTGCGTGCGTCGATATCTGTGTACATGAGCAGAAGACAGTATTCTTGACAAAGAGAGTTACAACTAACTAAGCTGAGCCAGCAGTTGCCATGGTGAAAACAGATCGTACATCACATGACCCAAAATCCCGCCAATCCCAGGAGAGGATGGAAAGCCGCTAATCAGCAAGGCAGGAAGTTGTCCATGCCTGCGTCGTAGGCGTTCAACTCACACCTCTTTCTGTCTGTCTGTCTGTGTCTATCTCTAAAAGGCAGGAGCCATGGGTCTCTGCTGTGTGAGTTTCTGGGGGTCCAGGGTTTCAGTAAAGGGCGGGGCTTGATAGGGGTTGGTGGTCACTATGGTAGCTCCATTGGCGATGGGGTACGGTGTAGCTCGAGCGTTGCTGGGAGCTTGATCCAGGTGTTGCCATGTGAACAAGTTTGTGTTGCTGCCAGTTAAGAAGCGCCGCAGTGCACTCAGGGTCAGTACAGCCTGTTAGTAACACACACACAAACACACATGGGTTAGCAGAGGCTGTTAGTTAGAATCACATGACTACTGTTACAGGCTAAAGGCCTTTGCACACCAAGTCTGTATTTTTCATATGTGGTTTTTAATCTGTCATCCGATTAAAATTGGTACGCACAGAAACCTTGCACACTCAGATGCGAGTCCCATGCGTTTTACTATTCTATGTTGTTGTGAAATTAACAAAACGAGACGGAGTCATCAAGCAATGAGGATGATTTTGTGGTCCTCTCACTTGAAAGTAGAAAAAGAAAATACTGAAATACTAAGATGGAGGTTCCTCCGTAGGCTATCGCCACTCTCTGCCCGTATCTTAAATTTGGCCCTGTGGCTACAAGAGGCAGAACTGTCCTCCTTCCCTGTCTGTGTGCTGTCCTCATCCTCAATTTTCTTTGACTGGGGCAAAAAAACGCAGATGAAAACATGTTCCGACAACTGAAATGATGGACGAAAGTTTCAGAGACTGTAAATATGATTGAATGCAATGTGAGGTCATATTTATTTATAAACGTGTGACAATTTCAGACTAAAAATACGGACTTGGTGTTCAAAGGCCTTAAGAGTCTATAACCATGCTAGCTGCTCTGTGAGGCTGTACTTTGAGCTTTGAACAAAATGCTAACATCAGAATACTAACATGCTGAGGTTTAGGTACGATGAGTGATATTGGTTAGGGTAACAATGTCAGAGTAAGCTAATCAGAGGCAGAAGGAGGGAAAAAAATATCCTCAAGCGTGGTGTCAACAACTCCCAAAACCTAAACGTTTAAGAACCTTCTGAGTCTTTGGGTCCAGGCTCTTCCTTCAGTGTCTACTGTGTACGGCAGTTACAAACAGCAACGTGTTAATCTACATCAAAGCTGGGTCTGACACAATCTGGTCTGTGGCCAAAAATGGAACCCGGCGTGTCGAATCACTTCAAAGTTTTGCATTTTTATCCACCAGACCCATTGTGATCTTTAATTTCTGCTGGTGGCAAATCCTGAAAGTTCCATGAACATGCATTTATTATTACATCCTGAGCAGTGCTGAAAATTGAGTTCCAAGAGCTAATCCCCCAAAGTGAAAAGAACAGTGGAAACAAAAGCAGAACTCATGATGTGATTTACATATTACATTACATTTCATCAAGTTCCTGCAGTGGAAACCTGGACACAGTTGGGTTAAAACAGGAGGATGATTCAGAAACGAGAGGAGCAGAATACAAAGGGTGACTTTGGAAAACTATTAAAATTCCATCAATTCAGTATTCTACTTTCATAAAGTTCACAAGAGACAAAAAAAAAAAAAAGAATAGTCAAATCAATGCAGCAGAGGCCTGACTTCCTGACTTTTCCTTCTTAGTATGTGTTAAATGCAACTGGAGAGCATCATATAGCATTATACCCTTTCTGCTTGGTAAATCCCTTATCTTCCAAACTTCATTCCCCCAGTTGCTAAGGCAGATTTTTTTGGGTTGTTAAAAGTTAATAGTCTCTGTAGTAGTTAGTAGCTGTTATATAACTGTTTTCACAGGCTCCTATAAACTGACTTTAAAGTGTAAAATCAGTTCCGTAAAGAGTAGTCAAAGTCAAAAGATCATTGATTTTGTTTTCTGTCACATACCATAAATCCTCCACAGAAGAATATTGGATTAATTTGTCACAGGACTATTGGGGAAAAATGACTTCACAGACTAAAAGAGATCTTTTGTAACGTACCTTACACCCTTGACAGAATTACAGCATCCTCCGACAGTGAGATGAATGGCTGATATAGGTTTGGTGGTTATAGATTGGTTTAAAAGGTCCACTGAGTTATCGGTGGATAATAAATCAGTCGATCAGTCTCTGACTGACTGTAAATGTTTTCTGGCATTGCAATTCTTTTTTTTTTTTTTTACTTTTATTTAAGTACAGTAATATTGCTGAGAGCAGCTCTTTTTCTGGAACATAATTTTCACACATTCACACCTGGAAACTGTCCAGTAGAGCCAAAGTCTGACCTGTTGGCAGCTGAGCAGCTCAACCGGAGCAGTTTCGGGTAAGGGCCTTGCTCAAGGGCAAATTAGTGGTTGTAATGGAAGGATGTGCGAGCATGGATCTTTCACTTTCCCCACCGAGGTTTATCCTGCTGGTCAGTTGATCAAAGTCTAACCCTTAGGCCACCACCGCCCCACAAATTCATTATAGTTTTGTTTATAGTCTTATTAGCCACAAACAAATCCTTTGAACATGTAAAATTTGTTTGACCATTTAAAAAAACTGTTCAATTTAATTATTCTAAGCAAACTGTAATTAAAAACAAACATAATGAGTTTTTATTATACTCTTATGAAAGGTTTTGTCTGATAACAAAACCGTGGATCACAGCGTATTGCATTCATCAATTTGATTATCTTACATGTGTTACAGTGAATACAGTGGCCATGATATTGATATATATCAATATTGGGAAACTACTGTATAAACTATTGTCATATCAACTTCAACCATATCACCAAGGCCTATTCTTAATTTAATGTTCTACAGCTTAAACCTTCTACAACATGTTTTTAACTGCTTATGTCTTAATTTAATACTGATGCCTCTGTATGACCTATATGAGAAAACAAGACCATCAGTGAGAAGATTGGGTGTTTGTATATAGTTATTCTTAATGCCTGCCACCGGGTCGGACTCCAACAGAGGAAACTAGGCGGTAGAGACAGTACCACTTTTGTCCACAGAATCAACCCAAAAAGAAAGCTGCTTGTAGGAGCTTTAACTACTATCACTGAACTAAACTTGACGCTACATGACAAAACTTTCAGACATGCAATACCAATAATTTACAGATGAGCCTGTGTGAGTGTGTGTGTGTGTGTGTGAGGGTGAGTGTTAGACTAGAGAGAGGGTGGGAGGGTTCCTAGGTAGGAGCCTCTGCTTGTCCTCCATGAAGGAAATGCTCTTAAATCTGTTCAATGCCAGCAGACACTGATAACCCTGAAATGCACACATACACACAAACATGACGATGAACACACACACAGACACACACGATTGTACACGCAGACAGATGACAGTTCAAACATACAGACCCAGGTAAGGATGGAGAAGAAGCAGAAAGCGATGGTGGCTCGGGCAGCGTCTGAGCCCTGGGCCAATGGCAGCTCGTCTGGAGAGGTAGCCTGCCACTGATTGGCCAGAAAACAGAAGCCAACAAACCACAGGAAGCTGGCAAGACCTGGAGGCGGGACACAGAGAGAGGTAGGAAGCATCTTTTTTTGAAACGTTGTTTCAATGAACCCTTCCTAAGTCCCACCCCTTTTTGCTCTGTGGTCCAATAGAAGTGGAGCAAGCCTCGGTCAGGACCAGAACTTCGGTTAACACAGATATGCTATGTGCTGGCTCATCTATGTTGGAAAGACAACAGAGCCTGGCTAGCGGTTTCCCCTTGTTTCCAGTCTTTGTGCTAAGCTAAGCTAACCAGCTGCTGGCTTGATTTTCTGATATAACTCTCTAAATATGAGTACTTCCCAAAATGTCAAGCTATTCCTTTAAAGTTGCTTCTATATTCATGTTCGCAGGGCCTTATTTTATCTGCCTTGTCTGGCTTTTATTATTCTATTGTAAAGCACTTTGTAACACTGTTAAGAAAAGTGCTACATAAATAAAATGTCTTATTATTATCTGAGATATATTTATGTGTTTATGTACCAGAGAAGACAAGGTCCAGCAGGACAGCGCGTCTTCTGTCCTTGACACTGCTGATGGAGGGAAAATAAACATCCAGGATGAGGAAAAAGATGCTGCCGAGGAAACACGCCACTCCCACAGTAACACCGTAGTTACAGGCGTCTGCATTGTTGTTGAAGACGCAGAGCAAACGCTCGCTGCCGATGTTGATGTAGCCCTCGTTCACGATGCAGCTGAACACCACCATGGAGAAAACCTGCAGGGGAAAGACACGTGGGCTGGTTTATTATCTAACAGGTAGAAGAGAATGAACTCACACTGGTGTGTGAATGCCTTTCATTCCTCATACATGCCACACACAGACACAAAAGTACACCCACTGCTTCACGATACAAAGATATACTTTTGTAATTATGTAGTAGTTCTTAAGCTTTAGTTCACCCAAATTACAAAAAAACAAACAAAAACACATTTTCTCAATTACTCCGAGTGATGTGTGTCTAGCCATGCAGATAGTTTCATTTTTATTTGGTAAAGTTTTACTTGTTTTGCAGGAATAAGTGTTTTTGTTACAAATAGTTTCCTTAAAGAGTCAGTTCACCCAGATTACTAAACATTTGTCCTCCTGTCACGCAGACAGTTTTAGTTTAATTAAGACTATTTTTTTAAACATTACCACTAAGACAAACTGAAGAGCAGTGTGACTTTCCAGAAGCAATTTTTCTGGTTACTGTTGATAATCCACAGACCTCACTGTCAGCAGATATTACAAACAGTCTTATGTATAATGTAGAAAGAACTACAAACTCTCTGCAGTGGGGGCCTGTGGATTATCAACAATAGACAGTAACCATGGTCATTGTTTCTGAGAGGACTCAATGTACGATACTTTTGTTTTCCAAAATTAAATTTACCAGGTCCAGATTAACCTAGAAGGGGACAAAAACAAGCTTTTGCATCTCCCTTACTCTCAAGTTTATCTTATTATAATTAGATAAAATTGAAGGACAGTGAAAGCGTGATATCAAGCTTTGATCCTGACACAGAATCCCTCTTGGAGACCTTTTATTTAAAGGATCAGTGTATAGGATTTAGTGGCATCTAGTGGTGAAATTGCAGATTGCAACCATTTGAATACAGCTCAGCCTTCCAAACGTGTGTAGAAGAAACTCCAGTGGCTGCGAACAACTTAAAGCCCTATCTAGTGCCAGTGTCTGGTTTGTCTGTTCTAGGTTACATAGCAGTTCAACCTGTCTGTAAAAGAGGACCGACTCACTCTGTAGATTAAAACAACTCATTCTAAGGTCACAAAAACAACTGTTTTTTTTTTTTTTGCAAATTCTGCTAATAAATCCTACTAAAAGTTACAGACTGGACCTTTAAATAAAAGTAGAAACACCACATATATAAAATATATAAATATATAAAAAGTAAAAGTACTCATTATGCAGAATGGCCCATCTCAGAATAATATATATCACAGATATAAAGGTGGGGCTGATTTAAACTGTATATACTGCCAGGTAGCTTAACCCATAATAATACATCACAATATATTGGTTATATTTGCATTAATGATCTGTGACCGCAAGTAACTAATGTTAGTAAATAGATATATAAAGAGCACAATGTAAGCTTTCAAAATGGAGTATAAGTGTAAAGTAGCATAAAATGAAAATACTGCTTTTTTTTTACTTTGATTTTGTTTTGACTTCTGTATTTTATTTCACTGTCACTGTGATGTGCTTTGTTTTAAGGAGCTCCGCCAATTGGTTATGGCAAATCAAGTTGAAGTGAATTGAATTATGAGACAGAAAGGGATAGAGAGAGGGTTGGTGTGCTGCTGTTAACTTGCTTTACCTCCTTTAAAAAACCAAATTGTTCCTTCAGTGCACATTAAATGGTGTATGGTGACTCACAGCAGCACAGCATCCCACCAGAGAGAGACGATAGAGAGGTGTTACATTCTGGTTAGCGGGCATTTAAACCCAAAGCCTTCACATGAGCTCAATGTAGACACAAAGAGGCTCCAGATAAACATATGGTAATCAGACGCTGGTGCTGGAGCTCCAGCCAGAAGCTGCATCAGTGCAATTGTTTGTGTTTATTACACCGAGCTGGAATTAATACACAGCTCAGATATTAACCCAAACATACTGAGAGTTTTATAATTTAAAAAAATCCTGATTTAAACCCTGACCTGACTAAATACATTAGCAGAGAGCGACAGACAGGGACAATGTGAATGGGAGACAGAGAGAAGAGGGGAGGGGGCGCAGGTAGGCCTGTCCATTGATGTCAACCCACACATTGCAGAGGAGACTTACCCACGACATCAGTCTGAGGATGGTCCGGGGATGCGTGAAGAAGGCGACCGGATCGAAGGCGACGCTCCCGGCCTTCCCGGCGCCGTACGCGCCCGCTGGCTCCATCCCTCCGGCTTTCTGCTGACCGACGCCCGCTGGGAGAACGAGAGGAGACGGTCGGAGAGCTGCGCGGAGCGGCGGCGTCCTCCTCCAGCCTCCGTGTGAAGTCACACCGCGTCACTGGGAGCTGATTACGGGCTGCACCGCAGAAATAACTGTCAATGGGGTTTAAATGGGTTTTAAATTAAAACTGCTTTGATTCTTTTATTGAGATTTTAAGCTTTTTCCTTTTTCATTTTTTGTCGCTAAATTAAATATATTTGCTCACCTAAATTTTCTATGCCGGACTTTTGCTGTAATTTATTGCTGATGTTTTCAGTATTATCGTTTATGAGCTCACAGTGGAACCATATCATGATGATAAAATATAAAAACTATTTTTAGGCAAAACTGTTGTTAAAAGAGAAAAGTAAAGAGGTTTGTTCAATGGTTTAGCAGCAGGTTGCTGTTTGGGTCATAAGCTCATCAAAGTCAGTGTACCATGTTGTTTTTTATAATGAATTTATTCAGTTAACTGATCAATAAAAAATATCTGTAATTTTTATGTCTCTAGATGAACGTCAGATGCTCCTCCACAGGCCAGGCACAGTTCATTTTGCTTTGATTATTTGGTTGGCCTCATTTGGCCCAAATCTTTCTCATTGGTTCAACATGAGACTCCATGGAAGGCGACTCACAGCGTCTGAGATAAATACAGCTTACTCTAAGGTAACAAACAGCTCCTATATTCAGGTGATTATACATTAATGAAACATAACTATTAATATTTTTATTTAATTTCTGCCTTGGATCCTCCTAAATGTTACACTGGAAAACAGTATCAACCATACTGTCATCATTATCAGTCTACAGTTCTATGTTAAGGATATTTTTCTCTCAGCTGAAGTCAACATCAACTCTGCTTCAACTCTGAATTTCCACAATCAACGTGACAACGACAGAGACCCACTGAGGTTAAATAAATAAAAAGTCTTGCAACCATCAATAGTTTTTAACTGAAGACTTTATTAGATTTGATTAGACAGACAGTTCATGACAGCTTGGCTGAGTTGATAAAACCAGATCCTTGTTTAGAGTGGACTGACTAAAAGGTATCTCTCTCTCTCACACACACACACAAACACAAACACACTGTACTCTCCTTTGTTTTTGGATTAAAGCTCGTCTTTGGTTTTGTTGGCTTTTTTTGCCTCCTCAGCTTTTGCGGCCTCAATGTACTTCCTCCTGTCTTCATCCTCCTGAAGATACAAAAGAAAAGAAGTTTATTTTTAACTGAGAAAAAAGGACAGCTCTCTCTCACACACTGCAGTGGTGCTGCTGTTTGTGGGGTAGAGTAATGAAGGAGATAATTTACCTTAACTCTGTCTTTTTTGGCTTTCTCCATCTCTTTATCTAGAAACTTGATCAGGTCCTTTAACTTCCTTTTACCCGGGTAAACCACCACCTGAAAGGAAACACAGATATCACACACTGAACATCCCCCACACAGCAGGGATAACACGTATAATCCCACATAGTAATTTGACAATAATTAGCTTATTTAATGCATTAGACTCACACGAACATACACACCGATCAGCCATATGCATCAGACTGTGATGCACTATGTGTTCTGATACCTTTCTATCAAAACCAGCATTA